CGTTGAAATGATTCCAGTGTTGATAGCTATTTAACATTTTAAGAAAAATCTGTAAATATCATTTAAAAATCCTGAAATTCCTAAATCGCCTTTATTTGATCAGATGTATAGGAGTTCAATTCATATACAATAAAATCAGTCCTTTAGAAAGTGCACTTAACGCAAATTAAGTCACCTTGGCAGTGAGTCATATCATCATTTGCCTCATACATTGTTAAATATCTCTGATACTAGTATTTTTGACTCCATAGATTGAAATCTGAAGATGAAGGATAGTAAGCGGCTTTAATGTATTCCACTGATGCTGATTAAGTAACATAAAGGTTAATAAAGGAGGATTTATTAATGGATTCATCAAATTTCGATAGAACTCGTCAACTGAATACTCTATATACACAGATATACACATGCTTTTAAAATTACATTGGGAGATATAAGACTGATAAGTAAACAAACTACATTGAGTTAGTCATACAGAGAGACACGTGCGAATGTTTTCCAGGTCATGTTCAAATAGATAAGGGGAAAGCGAGAGAGTATGAGAGATCAAAATTAAGATAAATTGCATTACGCTTCAATTACATCACTTAGATAAACAATTAGTCACTAGGGAATATAACGACAATTGCAAACAGACTAATATCAATAGTAATAGTTATAATAACAATATTAATAATAATAGTGTTGAAGTGAGTTAAGATAATCCTATTGATGAAAAGTAGTTTTAAATGAATCAAGAATAATAATGACAACGAGAGGTAGAATAATATGTAAAACATATTACCATGGTGGATTTAGAGTGACGACCATCGTCTTTTGTACACGGAGACCTGGTTTATAAACTCGAATTGCACAAGCCTCCTCTGGAATTGTAACCATCTTCTTGTTTCTTTGTGTGCCTGCTGACAATGGTGAATGACGTGACCGCGTCGATATATCATGTCCTTTGTCCACAAGATGTTTTGTTATTGAGGATTTCGGCACTTTGAACTCAGTTGGTTTCAACCATTTTGGCGAATGCTCCATCATGTGAGTAGACAGACAATCGCCTTTCTGTACGACCTATGTATTTGCTTCCACAAACACACTCAAATTGATATACGCGGTTTGAAGTGTCGAGGATTGGCGACTGGTCTTTCCCAGATTGTTGAAGCACTCGCTGAGTGGTGTTAAGGATAACAAGTTTTGCAGCATAATAAGTTCTCTTGATGGCTTGTCGAGTCTTCATTTGACTACTTCCTGTACATCATCTCCTTTGAACGGCAAACTGATAGAGACAGGTTTCTTTGGAACTGTTTGAATTGTTTTGCAGGGGGTAGTTTCTTTAGAGTATTTATTAATGAACATCTCAGGATATCCATTCTTAGATAAAATACCATGCTCAATAGTACACTCAGAACAAATTTTCCGTGCTCTATTGAACAATGTGCGTCGGTGGCACAGTGGTTAGGACTCTCGCCGACTATGCACGTGGTCCGAGGTTCGAGCCCTCGCCGACGCACACCTGATATCTATGGTCGGCCTGCGAAATTTGGGCTACCGATATCCACGCTGAAAATTCCATACTTGTACCAAAAATACAATGCGGAATCAAGCTGTAATAAAAATAAATAAAAAAAATGTTCTGACTAAGTTCTTTTTATACTGGATTGGAACAATGCCCTTGAAATGCATGTACTGTCCTGTCCATGAAGGCTTTCTAAATATAGATCTTTCGATTGTGCAATCATTCATTTTGGCTAGAAAAACGTCTAGGAATTTAATAGTATCGTATTCCTCGTGTTCTATTGAGATTCGGATGGCATGAGTTGAATTTTATCAACACGTCTTCAGACAATAAAAATGTCATCAACATATCTTAGGTATACATCCGTTTATTGTATATGTTGCTACAAGGTACCAGGTTCTAGGCCTGACAAAAATAATTCTGCGAAAAGTGGTCCCAAAGGTCTTTACACTGCAACACAATCAACTTGACGGAATAAACGCCCGTCGAATAGCAATCGGATAATTTCATTACACAAAAGTAGCAATTTCCCTAATTCCGATGTTGGAATGGCTATGTCTTCAGCTTCTTTACATATGAAGTCGATAGTCTCAAGGACTGGCACATTTGTGAAGAGGGCGGTAACACTGAAAAAGACCAAATGTTTATCAGATACATTGAAATCTTTAATTTGCTTGACAAATCAAAATGAATCAGAATCTGAAGAGGTCACTTCATCCGTTACCGCACAATAAAATGTTCCCAGTAGATATATCTAATTATTTTCATAATTTATCTGATGTTCCTTATCCAAAGAACAAGCAGAGATCCTGTCACTGAGATTCAACTTCTGTGTTCCCATGAAAAAGATAAAGAAAATTGATATCAAAAGCCGATTCGCACGTGTCTTTCTGCATGACTAATTCAATGTAGTTTGTTAACTTATCAGTCTTATATCTCCCACTGTAATTTCATAAGTATGTATATCCGTGAATACAGAGTACTGAGCAGTTGACGAGTTCCACCGAAATTTGATGAATCCATCATTAAATCCTGCTTTATTAACCTTTATTGCTTGTTTTAAATTCGTATCGAGAAATAAATGTTTTCAATCACCTATCATAGATTACATTAATTGAAATAATCGCATAAGTTATAAAGAGTCTAAGCTCCGTCACCAAATCACCTCGACTGATAGAGGAAATTACGTGCAATGATACGGGGGTTAAAATGAAGTTCGGGTTGAAGGCGAAAAAAAACTAAGCAGATTAATTTTCTGTAGTTTGGTTTGTAAGGGTTAGTTAGGTGTTTACAAGTTGATCACAGATTGATATCAGTTAGGGAACCATTGAAAACCAGGGAGTACTAGATAGCTGTTAGAATTTACGGGCCATTTGATCGGGTCCCAGTGGCTGAATGGTATAGGAGCTTGAACTTTGGAACTCTTCACTACTATATGACCATGTCTTAAACTAAAGAGGGATTTAATTCAGCAACGACAAGTTACAAGGCAAGCTCCATGACCATTTAACTGCTCGGATTCGATCTGACTAGTCGCTAGTGAATTGTAACATCAATCACTTTGAGATACATAACCGTACCGTTAGCTTAATGTCACCGTTCACTATCTTTCCTCATCTCCGGCTATTCAACAATTCCCCTTACAACTTAAGACAACTGTATCCAGCAATTTTCAAGTGAAGGTTTATAGGGATTTGACTTTTCTGACTCTTCAGAGGTATGCATCACTTATCCCACCAGTGATCTATCCCAGAACCTTAGGGCGGCAAAACCAACCACCGGAACAATTGTGGTGAGAGCTGGCTGTCAGTCAAAATTGGTGGACAGTAATTTCCCTCAATGTTTATTTCTCCAGTACTAGTCGTGAGAAAAATCAAAACCGAAGCTTTGCGTAGGCGGATACAGTTAACATATACATTATCTGACAATTAAGAAACGGCCACAAAGAGATGAAAGATTAACTTTCAGTGAGGAACAATAATCCACAATAATGTACATGAAAATCTATAAATATATGTTGATTTCCTTAAAAAACGATCCATTGTCTGTCTCTTGTCTTCTGTTGTCACATTTGGTGTCGCTGCCTACCGACAAATGGAAAGCCTATGCCTTAAAGTTTTTGATGGAGACATATGAATCCTCGGGCAGGACTTCGAGGCTTCTGAGCAGTTGAGTGGCGTTCACTATCTGTCAGCGATGAGAATGCTACTTGAGGCGCTGCTGAAAGATCGGTAGAAAGCAGCAGCTTATTGAAGTGCCAGGCGAAATACCAACGAATTTGCGATAGGGTCAGGCAAACAGTTTCCAAAGTAGGAAGGACCACATATGGTCACGTTGAGATGGGATGACGCAAGCACAATCGCAATAGTAAACAAAGAGAAACAGGTAAACATCAACGAGCGCTAAGATTCGAGACAGCCAAACAAACGAACAAAGCTTCTAGAACCAAGAAAACCGAACCAACTTCAGTCGGAAGTCTTTGACTGTGGAACGAGTGTGGTGAGAGCTGTCTGTAAGTCAAAATTGGTAGATAGTAATTTACGTCAATGTTTACGTCCCCAATATTGGTGGTGAGAAAAATAAGAACGAAGACTATGCGTAGACGGATACAATCTGCAGATAGATAACCTGAACTTCAAAAAACAGTCACAAAGAGATGCAAGGTTAACTTTCCGTAAGAAACAATCAATCAGAGGAGTGTGTTTTTCTGCTAACAATAATCTATAATATGTACATGAAAATCTATAAATACCTGTTGATTTCCTAAATATCCGATCCGTTCCCTGGGCCTTCTCTTCTGTTTTCAAACAATGACAAATCGCTTACTGATTCTAATGTCAGACAACTCGACAGTTACTATCACTGACGAATATCTGTAACCAGACTCAAATTGGCTATCTTGGTCTGTCAGAACTTCTCACTGTAGCACTCTCGCTGGAGTCAAGTGTTGTTATCAGCAGAGAATCCAATTTCAATTTCGTAGAAATAAATAAGACTTATTTTTAAACTAAACTTTGGGTTGGTGAAATCGAAAACAAAAACATTTATTCTCTGCATTTATTGTATTCAGCTTAGTGAAAAACCTGACACACAGGTTATAGAAATAGTAAAATTGTTCACTTCAGAGCCTTAAATACACATGAGCACTCTCTACCCTTTCTAGATTACTCATGTTTCGTTTCTCATATACCTAAATACAGCCATTCAAAAAGGCAATGAACAGAGTTCATGGTTTTTTAAGTAGTTTTCTATCGATTGCATACATATATTTTTATTTGATATTATATATATATATATATATATTTTAATATTCACTCTTAGGACGAACACAACATATTACTAGTAATTGTCTATAATAGCCGTCAACTATATCTCAAATACACTAATGATTTATGGACACCCTATTAAAGAAATTCAAGGTTTTTTTTAATTGTCCAATAGAAATCCGTCTTGAAATTAACCAATCATATTCCACTGGTATACATACAACATGCTAAATAACAAGTTCATCACAGCACAATTTATACTTTGTCCAAAGTGTATACAATAATGATTTGAAAAATTATGTCATACTAACTAAAATATACCTCAAATGAACCATAAAAATCTAACACAACCTGCTAATATTAAACTAAATACATCAGATGACGACGGCCAATCAGGTGATTATGAAATGTCAACGGATTACGTGAATGACAATGTGAATCAAAGTGAAGAAGTGATCAATTACTGTTGTGACAATACTGAGAAATGTCCCATGACATGGAATGGTGTACAACAACAGACTGCTGACCGATTTCCTACTCCACCACAAAGTCCTATAAAAAGGATAAGTAGTGTTGCGAAAACGCATAAACCGTCTCAACAATGTCCTCAACACGCCTCAGGAAAAGATGATCCGTTCAGTGATACAGGAAAAGTGACAACAAATGAAGTTGGTAAAAATTGGAAAAATGTTAAAAACACTATGAGATTTGTACTGTCAAATAAGTTGAAAAATAAATACGATTATGATGATTCACGGAGAGATTCGTTTATGTCACGTTTTTCCACACAACGACGTGGATCTTATACACAGAATCGGGAAAATGATCATCGATTTGAAAATCCTCAATTCTCTTGTTATCTTAAACCTGTTTATAAACCTGGCATTCATAATAGCAATAATAATAACAATAATGACAATACTACTACTAATAATATTAATAACAATAAAATGATTAGTGATAAAGGAACTTCAAATGATGAATTCTTTCAGACATGGTTTGTGAATACACCAGAAAGTGATGAGAAACATATTGAAGTAGAACACCTGATTAAATCCACTCCTCCTCCACATGGATCATTAGAAGAAGATGCTTCAACTGGTGGTCGATTGAAATTAGAGTCGACAACTACGAGTCAAAGTTGTGAATCACAGTCTCCGGTGAAAAGTGGCACCGATGGTTATCAAAACGTAAAATATTCTGAAAATTCAATACCAACAGATTATGTAAATAATATGTTAATGTTTTTTGAACGACCACTTGGATTTTTTGTATTTCATTCTAATAGTTATGGTTATCTTATCTGGTTGACATTTGTCTCGTTAGCCTTGCTATATAATCTATGGGCACCGATAGCACGTCAAGCTTTTACAGAATTACAGACAACTTATCAAATTCTTTGGTTTAGTTTAGATGCTTTAGCTGACCTAGCCTATCTTATTGATATATTTGTTCAGTGTAATACAAGCTATTTGAAATGTGGTCTTAAGGTTCGTGATCATCAGAAGTTGGCAATACGTTATGTTAAGTCATATGCATTTCTATTTGATATATTCTCATTACTCCCATTGGATTTGTTACAGTTGAAAATTGGTGTTCAGCCGATGTTACGTTTTCCAAGATTTTTAAAACTGTATCGATGTCGTGAATGGAAGGTGCGAGTAGAGAATCGAACTATATTTCCAAATTTATGGAGAGTATTAAATTTAATACATATTTTGTTCTTAGGCTGCCATTGGTTTGCAGCCTTCTATTATTTACTGTCAAAGTATGAAGGATTTAAAAATCCATGGGGATATCAACCGAGTGAAAGTGGTGACAATGATACTATATCGAGGATATACTTGAAATCTTTTTATTGGGCCACATTAACACTGACGACAATCGGGGATCTCAGTGCACCCACAAGTAGTATAGAGTGAGTCATTATTAGTGTTCACAAATAATTAATACTATACCTCTTTTTTATATTTCTAACTGTTTAACTATGCTAAATTATTTCAGAGAAACGCCTAAATCGCGGGTAGAATGTGTCTCAGCTTGCCAAAGACAGTAGACAATAGTCTACGACTGACATTCTTCTTCTTCTTTAGTTCGGCTATCTCCTACGGGAGGATGAACCGGCTTCATGAACATCTCGAATGTTTGTAAGAGAGTTGATGAAGTTTCATGGGAATTGGGTACGAGTGATGTCCCCAGCATCGCTCGGCCTTTTGTTTGAGAGTGCAGCTCTAGCCTTTACACAGCCAAGTGTGACCTACAAGGCAGTAGGAGTGGAGTAGGGAGTCCACTATCCATTGGCAGCCGGTGACTGGTTCATACGCCTTTTTGAATGGGGCCAGACATCCAGGGCATCCAATAAGCTCTTTGTCCATACGTCTGCCGGTGAACTCCAGTGAGCTTCATACGCCAGTCGTTGGAGGTTTGGAATCAGGGTTTAGCCATCTCCCCTAGACTGTCATCCAATGGACAGTCAACTCGGTGAAGAGCGCCGGGCATCCGCTTTTGCCCTCTCACTTCGGTGAAAAACACCTCCGCCACGTGACGGCAGTGAGTAGGACTTCCTCAGGAGAGGCTATGTAAGACGCACGGTCATATGGGAGCATTTCAAGAGGTGTACGGAGGGGTGGCTAGCCCGCAGCGCAAGACACCCACCCCCGACCATCCTGAGGCTTTGGAGGCTCTTGCTATTTGTTGCACAATTGGTTCCTGCTGGGTTGGTTTGCTAATTGCCAGAGATCCCTGTTGCTGATCTTTTCTGGCCATCTGATCTTGAGTAGTATTGGGCGAAGACAGCTGGTGACGTAGGTCTGTAGTTTTTTTTTGAGGTGCTATTTATGACGCGCCAAATCTCTGATCCGTATAGTAGCATTGACTGGCTTCACATTGGAGTCGAAAATCCGGATCTCTTTTCATTTTCATGCTGAATGCTGTTGATATCCACACAGACTTGAGAGTAATGCAAGCTTGTCTTGTTTTCCCGATCCTTGATTTAATATCCTCGTCAGTTCCATCTGCCTGTAGTTGAAACAATGCTTCACAGGTAGGTAGAGGAGGTTGTTTCTTTCAGCTCCCTCCCATTTAATCTGGCTGATTGTTGTCTGTTGCTTTTGTTGCTGTCGGTGTTGGCCAGAATTCTTCATCCCCTCTGTTTTCTATATGTATTATTATTAATCTAATTTTTCTGTTGAGGTTAGTCTTTATGACTTTATTATCAACACCATTTGTTTTATTTACGAAATGAGATAGACTGTTGAAGGGCATACAACGCAGAAAATTTCATTCTGTATAAACAATGTTGTTTGGAATAAAGTTGCTATAACCACTGCAATCAGCATTATTCTCATTAATTCAGACTTACCCTTTGGAAACTTCCTAGTCATAACAGAAGATTCTTCGCCAACCACACATGTGGTCCGGAGTTAATTCCCCGACCGAAGCACCCCACAACCTCGCCCAGCTGGTATTAAGCTAGGAAAAAATGGAAGGTTGGACGTGAGACTAGCATCTTTGCTCCATAAAAATAAAAACCACTACTACCGAATATTCAAGGCTGTAACTTGAAGGCGCCCTATGTCCCAGTGGAAACCCAATGGAACAAAATAAAAATAAAGAAATAAATAAAACTACTGTTCTTAAGCTCTTAAGTTTCTCCTCACACGATCACTTGTCTGTGATCAACGGACAATCGTTTTTCGGAATATATAACACAACTATTAGCTATTTTCATTGGATCTTATATGTGCTCAAACTGAACTAGGTGGTCCAATCACGTCACAAGTCCTTGAAGTTCAGAAAACACTATTCTGTGGTCTTTTAGTACTGAATAGTACATAACAGCTTTCTCGCACCTCTTGGTCACACGTAATCCAAAATTTTGTACGATATTTCATGATCAAATGGATGAAAATGGATACCTTCTAAGGTGCTTCCTATTCATGTTATTTATTTAAATGGAAATTATTATGAAAAAAATAATAACCTGAAACGACTTGATCCACATCAAACATGTCTCAGTTAGTGAGTGTATCTTGAAGACATGAAAAGGTTGACTGCTTTCGATCATAGATGTCTGCGATCTCTGTCTCACGTTAGATGGTTTCACAAGGTAAGTAATGTTGACGTTAGGCGTAGAGTGTTGGGCAAAGAGGGAAATTCAATCGACGAGGCTATAAAGTTACATAGACTAAGATGGCTAGGTCACGTGGTGCGCATGCCTAACCACCGCCTCCCCCGACGGGCATTGCTAGCTGATATAGGTTCAGGTTGGAAAAGAGCCAGTGGTGGCCAAACAAAAACATGGCCTCATCAATCCATGAAATCCTTGAAAGTTAAACTGAGTCAGGTAGGGAGATGCAGACTCCCGGGTTGGGGCCCTCGGGACTGACTCTAGGAATCAATGGCTGGAGACAATAGGTGACATGGCTCAAAATCGTTGTCAATGGCGCAGATGTATTCAATCTCTGTAATCTTTCATATTCCTTTCTACCATTACCCATTCTGTTTCACTCTTATACTTGTCAGACTGTATTGATTCTCTTCACTCATCTTCTTGTCTACCTCTGTGTGCTATTTGGAAGGTGGCAACTCGAACTGGTGCACTTCGGTGCCAAGTTCTATGTTGAATCCAGACAGACAGACAGTGAGTGTGTCTAACAGTAACACAATTTTATTAATGCACAGCTTGAACATATTGAAAAATTATTTATTATATTATTATTCCCTTGGACTCCGAGTTGAATATGAGGCTTTAAAATTACATCTTGATTTTCTTACATTTTGTGCTGCCCCTTCCATGATTGCTCATAATCTCTCATTTCCTCCTTGCCACACGATCTCCTCCATGTCAACCTCGCACCGAAGAGCCGCCACTTGTCACTTCTTATTTAGATTCCGCCCAAGCGACGGCCTTTATTGCGGCCTCCTCAACTCATGACTGACCCATCTCAATTTTCCACAATATATTTGCTGAGCGATCGGCTCTTGTCTGTTTCACTGTTGCTGATTATTTCACGCCTGCTGGCTATTCAGTCTTTAGTGTGGAGTCAGTGAAGCGAGCAGCTGCTGGTAAAGTCTGCAGGGTGTTAAAAATTCTTTTTGTGACTGCTACGCACGCCAAGTTTGTGACCCATATAGAAGGGCTGACTGACTTCACATTTGTATTGAAAATTTAAATTTTATTCTTTACTCTGAGTCCAGAAAATTTCCAAAACGGTTTTCGGATTTGTGAAGGCGTATCTAGCCTTTCCAATTTTGTCTAGATTTTTTTTTCGTCGTCATCCGTTACAACTGCCTGTGGTTGAAACGATGCTTCTTAGATAAGTGAAGGAAGCAAACTGGGTTGGGAAACAGTGACTCATAAACTTTGACTCTGTCACCTTGTGATATAGGGCTGTTTTCATCAATATCTTCTATGGGCAACCACTTTAATTTGAAATGCTGGACTGCACTGGTCACAACAAAGTTGTAATTCTCAGATAACTAAATCTCAGCTTAAGTGGTTGAATGGTCTAAGGGATCATCTTGTAAACGTGAAAGTTGGAGGTTTGGTCCCTGGAAGGGATTTAGGTGTGCTTTACTGAAAAGAGGCAAACTGGTGTTCAGTGTTCACTCAAACCGATGTTTGTTCGTGACGGAATTCTAACACTTATTCAATCATATTTATGAAACAACATATTATCACGTTGGTTTCCAGAGACTTGATCAGTTACTGTATGGATCACGAGTTGAGTTTAGTTTGTGAGCTACTGGAGAATTAGGCAGACATGAATACCTGTTTCATCCTAGTTAAGGACTCTTTAGCACTACGCAACCACTGCTAGGTTTCGAACCCAGGACATTTTTTGGTTACAAGGAGAGTTCGTAGAACATTCACCCTTTATGACCTCACCCAATGGTCCATGCATACAAACCTCCCCCAATTCTTGATGACTAGTACGAAGTATCTGTCCAGCACTCTCTGTTTTTTTTGGTTCTATAGCTGATTTATTCTCATGATGAAACCTGTTACTAATCACATCCGCCGTAACCAATACTTGATCGATAATGCGATACACACTAGCGACTGCCTATCTAAAGGATGTTACCTGGAGTCCTAGTAAGAAGTCATAACCATAGAAGTCCACTAAGTGTGGAGAGAGAACAACTGCTTGCCTATGATGCTGACTATTGGTTGTGTGTTGCCAGAAATCAGGATTCATGAGACAGTGGGTCGGGTGACTATGATTGGATGATCTACGAGCTCTTCTTGTAACCGGAAGATTCTGGGTTTGAACCATAGTTAGTGCATACTAGGACTGAACAACTGCCCAATATTCCCAACTGCCTTTCCAGTAGTTCTCTAAGTGATATCAACAGCAACACGTATATTTAAAACTAGGGATGTGGTTAGAAGGAGGTTTTACGTGTTTATCACGGATTGATATCAGTTAGAGAACCATTGAAAACCAGGGAGTACTGGACAGCTGCTGTTTCATCCTAGTTTGGGAATCATCGGCAGTACACACCCACTGGGATTCGAACCCGGGACCTTCCGGTTACAAGGCAAGCTCCCAGTGTGTGCGTACTGCCGAAGATTCCCAAACTAGGATGAAACAGCAGCTGTCCAGTACTCCCTGGTTTTCAATGGTTCTCTAACTGATATCAATCCGTGATCAACCCGTAAAACATAACTAATCCTTACCCGACCGAAAGCTGCTACCTTGACGTGGTGGTCGGGCTTGAACACCGCAATGACCTAATCAAGCTATACTGGCTGAGACTTATGTCTCTTGAGGTTCTACCATGCCAGGCAGGTTGTTTGGATAGCGGTTAAACAAAAAGCAGCTACCTCATCCAATACCATGATCCAAACAAATTCACAAAATTTCATGCCGGATCGGCCGTGGCCCGGATTAACAACGACCGCGCTTCCTGCTG